AATCAAGTATTTTTATATTTTTGTCTCAAACATATTAATAATCACATATATATATATATATTAAACCCTAAATATGTATTAAACACAAAATAAATATTTATTTAATATTTTAATAAAATAAATAAAAGAGTATTTTTGTGTGAAATATTTTCAGAAAGTAAATAAAAATAAAAATGTATTTACATCTTTTTTCTATTTTATTTTAATAATGGTATATATATCTATTTGTGTACAAATAAAGAAAATAAACAAATAAATATGCAATAAATGCAAAAAATGATGAAAAAAATATTTTTAATTTTCTAATGTCATGAAAAAAAATAAACAAAGTCAACCAAAAAAGAAAAAGTCAAAAATGTTAAGAAATGAACAAATGGGCTCAGGGGGGTGTAAACATGAAAATGGGGTGTGAAAAGAAAATAAATCCAGGCCCAGCCCAGACCACTTCTTCTTCAACCTCTGTACAGCCTTCTTCAAGCTAAAACACGCGTTTTTTTATCTCTGGATTCCTGGACTTTCAAGCAAAACTCATAACATGAAAAGTGTAGAGCATTAAGAGACGGTTTCAACCATATAAAGAACATGACCTATCTCTCTAAGATGAGGGAGAGTTTCTCTCCCCCTCTTTTCTGACCTAACTTTTCATCAATGTTCAGACATGAAATTCTCTAAGCACACGAAATATAAATGAAATCTAAACATATGAGCATGTTCAGGGCTATGATTGTGACATGTTTTCTTCAAAAATCTAAAGCTAACAATGCCTAACAAGGGAGATAGAACTCCATGAATGTACCTGTTCAGTTGGAATCGAGCTTGGCAATGGAGGATGTTTCAGAGTGAAATGATGACTTGTACAGCTTCCTTGAAGTGTAAGGAAGCTTTTCCAATTCCTACTTTGCCTTGAAACTCCCTGAATCGAGCTAATGAACTCCAACTGCAAAACAGAAAATTAAAAATGGTGAAGTGGCTTGGAGGTGTTACAGGTCTGATTTTAGGACATGGTTAGCTTGTATATATTGTAGGGAAGGTAGAGGAAAAGGTTTGAATCAAAATGCTTGAAGGGATTGGGAGTTTGCACTCAAACTGCATGGGCTCCCCTGTTTGTGCAGTTTTGAGATGATTTTGAGATGGAGGGTGCTTTAGATGTTTAGGACTCGTGCCAAAGCTTGAATGTGGTCTATGGAATGTGTTTGATCACTTTTGTGTTGTGTATGTATGCTGAAGAGAGAGTTAGCATAAGTTATGGACTTTTCTTCACACTTAAGCTACAAAATGCCACTTTGCTTTCTAGGTCAGTACAGGCCCTCTAACTATGCTGCTATCCCTTGCCTTGATCAGTGCAATTTGCTCACAAACTTGTGCCAAGAAGATCTTGATTGTACCACTTGGATTGCAAACTTGACATAAAGTTCTTCTTTTCAAGAATGGAAATAATGCTTTTTCTAGTTTAGGCTTAATTCCTTGTGTAATGACCAAAGGCTTAGAATAACAACTTGATTCAATGGTTTTGCATTAAATTAAGGAGTGTAATTTGGTTTTAGGACCTGTAAAGTAGCACAAACTATGCTGAGTTCAAATTTGCCAAGTTTATGAACATGCTTTGATGAAGAACAAAAGTGAATTTTTGCCAACTTGTGAAATTCGAATCTCTCAAGTTATGAGGTTGTTTGATGAGTTCTTGGACATTTTGGAAAGCTTGGAATGTGTACTACAATCCATATTTGAAATGCAAATCAAAATTCTAAGTGGAAGGGTATGAAAAGTGGCCTTGAAGTAGGGTAGAAAACCTTGTCAAAATAGGTCAAATTTCACTAAGTTAAAAGATGGTTTAGTGCCCTTATTCAAAAAATTATAACTTGAGATACAAGCTTCAAATGAGAAAACTTTGTGAATCAAAGTTGTAGATTATGCAACAAGCTACAACTTTCATGTTTTGACTTTTGTTTGAATCCCAATGGATCATGGTGAAAAGATGGGGTAAAGTTGGGAAAAAATTAGGGTTTTCCATAACTTAGAAAAATTCTAAGTTATGAAAAATTCCATTTTCTAACCCTAATTTGCATTTTGTGATTTCTTGGTGAACAAGTTTCATGATTTGGAATGTTTTGATGAAAAATGAATCTTGACTCTTGATTTTGACCAAAAAGTCAAAGTTTGACTTTTCAGTATACAGTCAAAATTGATCAATTGACTGGGAAATTCAACTGTCAATCTTGTGTACTTGGGATCTTTTGAGCTTGATGAACATGTCAAGATAATTCCATGGGGTCCTTGAGTCCATATGTGAGCTTGGTTTGCCATTGGCTGGGTCAAACAGTCAAAAATTGCCTTTGTGCAGTCAAAACCCTAAAAATGACCATTTTGCCCTTTTGATGATCTGATCAAATTTCTTGTGGAATTGTGATCCAAACTTGATAAAATGGTCCATGTGAGTTCATAATGTTGATGTGGATCAAATTTCATGAGGTTTGACTGTCAATTGGCCACAGTTGACTTTTTCCCCAATACAGCTGATTTCTAGGTCAACTGTTCAATTGACCGGGTAAAACTTGGAATCAAGACTTGAAACTTGGCATGGGTAAACTTGGGAGTCCAACATGAAGCATGAAAATCATTTTAGGCATTTTAGGTCAAAACATCCTAGGGCAAACACAAACCCTAATTTGAGTCCACAGTGCAAGGAGAAGCCTTGAGTAGAGGAAACCCTAACTGTATCTTGATCTTCAAAGGTCTTGTGATGAGAAAATGTTGAGGAAATGGGAGGGCAAATTTTGGGGTACAACATATATATATATATATATATATATATATATATATATATATATATATATATATATATATATATATATATATATATATATATATATATATATATATATATATATATATATATATATATATATATATATATATATATATATATATATATATATATATATATATATATATATATATATATATATATATATATATATATATATATATATATATATATATATATATATATATATATATATATATATATATATATATATATATATATATATATATATATATATATATATATATATATATATATATATATAGTGCTTTATATTTAAGTTGTTTTTCCACTTAAGTGCTTTTTCACTTAAGTTGTTCCTAAAACACCAAATTTTAATTAATCTAGAAATACAATAATAGAACAGAGTGCGATACTCAAACATTGGTCCTTGAGATTTTGATGATAACTTTACAAGTTATCCTAGAGAACAATTATATACACTAATGATTTCGTCTAGCGTGTAGTTGTTATTATAATGTTCTGACTCTGGTACAAGGCGTGTGACGTCATCGGGTTCTAAACATACACTACTTGAAGACAACGTGTGGTTACTTGTTTCGTTGATGTCAAGGTTCTGAACTTATCTTCTACAATGTGTCTTAGGAACGTTAGTACAAAAGGCTTTGATCGGGACTTTGTGGTTAAGCTTTGGAGGCCTTCTAAATATTTATTTATTTGTTACAAGTTCTGAAGATTATGAAGACGAGGTTCTGCTAAAAAAGTTCTCATGATCTGAAGAAAATCAAGTTCTTATAACCAAGTGTTGAAGACTCTGAAGACAAGATTATGTATGACAAGTACTGAAGACTCTAAGACTTAGGTTCTAAGGCTTAAGAAAGATTCTTCTACAACAAGCTTCAACATTCAACATTCAAATATCTGAAGCCTCTGAAAATAAGAAGAAAGTTCAAAATGGTTAACGTGTGGTGGTGTACAAAAAGGTACATAAAGTGTTTGTGACCTCTACTCTTCTAGAGTGACGCAAGAACAGTCATTTCATACTTTATTGTGACCACTGTCATTATGACCGTTGAGAACCAACAATTAAATTTCTGATTTACCTTTCTACCTTTCAACGAATCTCTTTTACAAGCTATAAAATGAAGACTTGAAAGCTGAAGAAAAGCAAAAAACAACACTACAATGACAAATATAGCAGTTCAAATCAAGCTCAACAAAACTACACCAAAGCGTTGTACAAATTCTGTAGAGAAATCATTTGTGTATAATTTTTTAAATAATCAAGGAGTTGTTGCTCGTATCTTGCAGTAGAACACTTAGGTGTTTTTCATTATACTGAAAAGTCTGTGTAATCTGCTTACAAGAAGCAAATCTATAATACATTGAAAGTACTCAACTGTTGTTGAACGATACCTTAAGAGACTGAGTGAAGGTTTGATCTCAAGAAGACTCCTGCTGCGACTTGAGTGAATAAGGATCGACGGATTGACGGATTTATTATGAGTGCCAATAAAGTTGATCAGACTTATTATAGATTGTTCTGTAATCAATTTAGTTATAGTGGATTAAATCCTTGTTAAAGGCGAAATCATCCTTGAAGGGGTGGACTGGAGTAGCTTAGTTGACAACAAACCAGGATAAAAATCACCATGTTCATTTACTGTTATATTCTAAGCTAACATGTTTTGTCACCAACGAAAAGATTTTATTTGATGAACCTAATTCAAACTCCCATTTTGTATTTCTCATAGCTTCATTTATATCATATAAGGGCCGAGGGCAGTTCATTTTGTTTGAAAGGCATGTCCATGAAGTTTAAAATTTCAAGATACAAGTTTTATTCAAGTTCATTAAAAAATTCATTCATTTAACAAAATGCAAGAAAGGCAAAAAGGATGATAATACATACATGGATTTAAGAGTTTTGAAGAAGAGAACAAGTTTGTATCAATTATTTGAATATACAAATTTGCCCAAATTTAATTCAAGTAACAAAGATTCATTTTCATCCAAATATGCAAGTTACAAAAGCATTACAAGGGAAAAAGAGAAAGCACAATTTTCTACAATCATAAACTTTTGGGTCAATTGACTCCCTAGACCTATTCTTCAAAGTACAGCTCACCATCATCTTCATTTTTGGACTCTAACACACTCTATTCCCAAAATGCTCCAAGACTCCAAACCTTGGTCATGCTTGAACCAATTTGGTTCAGCCCATAATCTGCACCTTATCGCAGCCTGCATCACATACAAACCAACCTGCACATAATACAATCCATAAAAAGAAGTTTTCCACTTAAACCTGATTCCCCTCAATAAACAAAAAAAACAAGGAAACTAAACATCCAATTCCCAGCTCAACAAATCAATTCAAATCAGAAAATCAATAAAACCAAAACAGATATCAGAATCGTGCTTTGCAAGTTTCATTTACAGCTCAGCATAAAACTCATAACAGAATTTCAAAATTCAGAACAAACTTTCCGAGCAAGCTTAGTTAGATTCAATCCTTACCCTTCATTTTTGTAACAAACTCATCCGATCCAACGGCTCTGCTCCATTCCTTCTGTAACAAGCTTTCAAACTGTCATCCACCTATATAACAAATTTTCTCCCTCATTCGCGATCATTCTTCACATTCTGAAGAATCACCAAATCACTGAAACTTCAAAAATCTCTCTATCTGAAAACTGCTTCTGTTCAACAACAACTGCGACAATCTTCACGTAGCTTCTGCCTTGATCTTCATCACCTTCGCAATCTGCAACGTCTCGCGACATCTCGCAACGTCATCACAACACATACGCACAACAAAAATTTAGAAACGCAGTAGAAGAAGAAAATACAAAAGCGAATCGCACCTGAAAACAACTTCTCTGGTTTTTCTGTTTATCGTCTTTCAAGGAAGACGCCGTCGGACGAACTCCGACAGGTAAGCCTTAAATCTCTTCATTATGCATATTTTTTCTTCTTTCTGTGAAACTGAGACGGAGGCTTAAGCAAACAAACTGAGAGATGATACAAAGTCGATTCACGCGAACTGAATCGGAGGTGAGTCGAATAGAATCCGCGATCTGAAATTGAGATGAACGGTTAAGACGGAGAGGAGAAGACGAGTTGTAGTGGCGGCGGAACAGAGTGAGACAACGGAGAATCATCGGAGAATGGAGGTTGAGCCGCCACAGTTAGGTTTTATTTCGAGAGGAGGAACGGAGATGAGAGATTGAAAAGCGAGACGGAGGGGATGGCTGCTATCACGGTTACGACGGTGGTGGCGTTACAAAGAAAACGGTGGAAAGGTTGAACGATACGGGTGATGAGCGGTGGACGAGAGGAGAAGAAGACGATCTTGTTTCACGTGAAGTTGAATGGGCATAAGCAGTTGAAACCCTATTTTTCTCACACGTTCCACTTTGTTTTTTTTTTACATTTTTGTTTGTTTTCTTTTTAATAAATAAATAAAATACCGAATAATTAGTAAATAAGGATAAAAATATTTGGGCTTGGTGTTTGTGTGTTGGATGGACCGAGCTGCATACTCAATAAGCCATGGTATACGCTTTTGATACACTTTTTGGATGAGCCTATTTTCTGTAACAAAAACTCTCTATTTGGACCAAAAATCTTTTGTGAGCCCAATGTGTACGTTTTTAGAAGCCTCGCAGTTGGTGTTACAAAAAAATCTGGTTTTGGATCCAAGCTGTATGGGCTTAGTGCCTATTTGGATCCACGCTGCCTACATCAGATTCACACCCTTCTCTATTTAGAGTTTAATTTTTCTTCCTATCTTCTTTCACTATTTTTCTTCCCGTTCTTTTAAATAAAATAGTGATAAAATGATATAAAAATATTAAAATTTTCTAGGATTACTTTTAGGGATTAGTTAGGTTTTGCCTATTATTTTCCTTAATCCTCATAAATCAATTTAGTACATAATTGTGGTTATTCCTTTGTTTGCAATTCATAACAAATAGTGCTTAATGTACTTGTGCTTGTGATCTCTAAATGAGAAGTCAGTTGCCTTGTTAGGTAGATGCGATTCATTTTGGGGTTGATACCTTTGTATTTGGTGTTTATCATTTGGTTGTTACCTTTGATTTGACGTTGTTGCATTATTTGTTTTGTGGTGAATGAAGAGTCACTCAGTTTTGTACCATAGCTGAGATCACAACATCGTTCTTTTGTTTGTTTTGTTGAACGTAAAACCACTCAGTTTTGCACCATAGTTGAGATCACGACATTGTTCCTTTTGTTTCTTTGTTTATTGCTTGTACTCACATGTGCCCTTAGAAGTATGATTCCATCTTGTTCAAGGTATGAATTAAATAGACTAGGTTCTAAATCAAGTATGATAACATTAGGTAGAGGTTTCCTCAATCCTTGCCCTTAGGTCCATGATGCATGTTAACTTTTAGGTAGTTTTCCCTTTGATATCCTAACTATAGGACCATTGAAAATGACAACACTAGAACTTGAGTTTCCCCTTTGATTTTTTTCCCTTTTGCATTGCTTTCAAAACTAAAACCTCTTTTTCTTTATCAAATCTCAAAAACACTTAACAAATAAAGAGGTGAAGCATGTGTCATGAGTCTTATATATTGGGAGAAGTATGATGGGGTACATTCCTAATCTTGTGCTTTCTCTCAGTCATAGTCTTTAATGTGGTTCAAATCATCAAAGCCTTTTTCAAGGTAACAAAAAGACTCAACCAATCAAATCTCTTTTCCCTTTGGGCTTTTCTTTTGAAAACCTTTTCAGAAAATAACATGTTAATTCCTTTCTACACAAAACAACCATGTGTGAGTCTCCAAAGGTTGAGCGGCAGTAGAATGTAAAATTAACATCGTTCATAAAAAAACACAAACAAAGCAAGTCTTTTTTAGATGAACTACGACACTCTGATTCCTTCGGGATACGTAGGCACGGGGTTTCATGACCGAGGTGAGCATCCTAATTTAAAAACTTTTTTTTGCTCTTTAACAACTCATTCATGCATTCCATTGTAAGCTTTAGATATAACACACTCTTTGATTAGAACAACTAGGATGGATCTCGTGGAGTACCACGAACATGAGTGGTGCTAATACCTTCTCCTTGCATAATTGACTTACGTACCATTCTCTTGGTTGCAAGACCATGTTCTATCCTTTCTCAGGTTTACTCAATGTTTTCCTTTCCCTTTTGTGGGATAAATAATGCTCGATGAAGACTCTGTTTGCATTAGTATTTTTTTGCGGTAGTGATAACTTATTGTAGCTTACAACTAATAGACCTGATATCACATTTGTCGTGGTGTGTGTGCAAGATATCAAGTTGAGACAAAAACAAGTCACATCAATCAAGTGAAGAGGATTTTTAAGTACATAAATGGTACTAGTGACTATGGTATGTTATACTCTCATAGTTCAGATTCTATCCTAGTGGGGTATTGTGATGCAGACTGGGCTGGTAATGCTGATAATAGAAAAAGCACTCCTGGTGGATGTTTCTTTTTGGGAAATAATCTGATTTCCTAGTTTAGTAAGAAGCAGAATTGTCTTTCTTTGTCAACTGCTGAAGATGAGTATATTACAACTGGAAGTAGTTGTTCACAACTGATGTGGATGAAAAAAAATGTTGAAGGAATATAATGTCAAGCAAAATGTCATGACATTATACTGTGACAATCAGAGTGCTATCAATATTTCAAAGAATCATATTCAACACAGCAGAACCAAGCACATTGACATTCGTTATCATTTTATCAGAGACCTTGTTGAAGATAAGGTGATTACTCTAGAGCATATAGCCACTGAGAAACAAGTGGCTGATATTTTCACCAAAGCTTTGGATGTGAATTAGTTTGGAAAGCTTATGGGTAAGCTGGGATTCTTTATAATTAAGGAGTTATAGCAATTATAGATATGGAGTAGTGTAACTGATACAACATCTTTTCTCTATTTTCTGGCGCTTAGGAAGCCTAAGCAAGTTGGTATCGTTAAAGGATGGAACAAAAGATCTCTACAAGATAGAAAGGCTAATGACAACACCAACGAGTGCAGAGGTATCTTTACCAGGGGCAAGAGGTGGAATACTACCTAAAGAAGTTCAAGATTGTGTGTTTTCATCTGAGTTTTAAAGTGTGTGTTTCTATTTGAGTTTTGAAGTGTTTGTTTCCGTCTAAGTTTTCAAGGTTTTGTGCTTCCATCTGTGTTTATTGCTTGTATGATATGTGTGCTTCCATTTTGTTTTTACATTTACTCTAATTTTTTCATTTTTCTTGCTACAAAGGGGGACTAAAGTGTTAGTATTTTGTGGGTCCTAATGTTATGAAACATGTCTTAACATATTGATTAGCATGCTAATAGGATTGTGCTACTACTAAGGGAAGAGTAGTGGTTGTGTTTGCTTGTTGTGTGCAACTATTTAGGGAGAGCATAATTGTATTCCATGCTTGGTTGGAGCTTTTGCTGCTACTACTGATGTGGTAGGATGTCTTACTAGATGTTCTAACATTATGTCTGTTGGAGTTGTGTGAAAATCTTAATGTGAGGTTGTTTTATCTTATGTTGTTGCTGCCTCTGATGTATGTATTTGGTATTTTGGATTTTATGGTAATTAGGTATTCCCTTTGAGGGGGATTCTTGATCATGGGGGACAGGGGGATTTTGGTCCTGTCTGTGATGTCAGACCTCATGTATGGATATTTGTATTCTAGAATATTGGAGATGGTGATCTGTAACTGCATGTATTCTCTGATATATGTTTACGTTGTAGTTTGTACAAATTATACATGTTTGCATATAACTTATGTTATGGTTTTATTCTTTTCTCCAGGGTTATTATGCATTGTTTGTTTTAGGCAAAATTTTCCAAAAGGGGGAGATTATTAAATCCAAGGTTTTAAGTTTGGAATAAATTTTTGATAAAACATGGTTCTGGATTGATGTTGAGTAACATGTCATAGCATCTTGACCACTGTCATGACAGGTTCTGCTGTCATGTGTATCAAACAGATGTTGAGCTAGATGTCTTGGCATCTTGGTCTGTTGTGCAGCATGCGCTGTTGATTTATCTCTTGACATATTTGATTTATTTTTGAAAGATACTTTTGGATATATCTCATTATTCTTCACAGGTCAAGGAGATTTTATTAAGAGCAAGTACATATTTGATTTGTTTTCATAAAAAGGATCTTGGTGACTTTTTAGGAAACCTTGAAGATTTGTTCCTATTTTAATATGAAGATCTTGCAGCTGATTTAAAAATGAAGATTGGATTTGATTTGAAGAGTCCAAACCTATATTGCAAGAGTCTATAAATAAGGACTTGTTAAACCTAAAACAACATGCATTAACAACAAGAAACCGTGGTGCATAATGGTTTTGGGTTTTTAGATTTTTTTAGAGTCTTTTTGTTCTCTGTATGTCACTCATGTATCTTTTGATACATTAAGGTATACTAATTATTACTTGATAGTCTATCAAGTTATTCTTCTCACTCATGAGCTTTTAAGCAAAGAGTTGAGTATTGTTCTTAGTTGAAGCTTTTAAGCAAAACTAAGTATTGATTATTTGAAGTGTAATATTTTATTTGGTTGTTTTTGTTCTTGTCACAATTTTGTGACTATAGTTATCACCGAGGTGATTGAAAGTGAGAGGGGAATCTCATATCTAGAAGGTGTCTAGGTAGAAGTTTCACAAGGTAGTGATTAGGCGATAAGTTGTAAACTAGGGTTGTTTGGGCTTTGAACTAATACTATCATAGTGAATTTCCTTCCTTGCTTGGTATTCCTTGGAGTAGGTGACGTTGTACCAAACTAGGTTAACAATTGATTGTGTTATTTATTTTTCTGCAATTTAATTTTTGCATAATCTCTAGTTTTAGCAAGTGTTTTTTATTAGTAGATGAAGTCATAACATTTGTCTTGACATTGTATTGGTGTTATGACATCGGTCTTGACATTTGTATTGCAAATGCTAGAATATCAGTTGTCATAGTAAAAAGCACATTTCCGTAGCCTTGTCAATGACTGAAGCAGAATATATGGAAGTCGGTAGTTGTTGTGCCAAAATCTTATTGATTAAGAACCAATTACTTGATTTTGACATTAGACTTTCTCGTATTCTTATCATGTGCAACAACACTAGTGTAATCAACCTAACCAAGAACCCAGTGC